TTGTATTACTTGGGTAAGATCATAGGATGCTAGTATGGCCCTCTCTCAGCCTAAAAGTATGTGTTTATATGTTTACGTGAGTATATGATATATGTATATGTGCATATTTATATTATATGTATATGTAATTTATATATATGCATATGTATATTATATGTATATGTATATTATATGTATATGTATATTGTGTGTATATGTATCTGTATATTATATGTATATGCATATTATATTTATATGTGTATATGTATATATATATTTATTTATTTATATTTGTGAAAGTGTGTGTGTGTATATAAATACTCAAGTACAGAAGCTCCCATACAGATGCAATTGCCCGGTAAACTATGTGCATTTATAAACCTGAAAACCGAAAATCTACAAAGCACCTTCCCTTTACCCCCCCCCCCCTTTTCCTGACAACAGAGGAACACACAGAACACCCGCTTCCAACCTACCCCACCATCCCTTTGCAAAAAAAAAGGTAAACAAACACACAACACAAACAATAAAATGACACACACACACACAATGCATATACATTTATCTAACTATATATATACATATATACATATATACATACATAAATATATATATCAGATTCTCAAACTCCAATATCCTTTCAAATAAATCATAACAAGAATATCCGGGAATCGAATCTCAAACAAACTCCGCTAGCTAATTAAATAAAAAGTCCACACTCTTAAATTTCAAGACAATGAGGCAATCGATCATACGGCCGAGCATAAGGTAATTCAACATTCAACACATACCCCCCCCCTACCTCTTACCCCCTTGCCTCCTCCTGCATCCCTCCACCCCCACCCCTCCATGCCCCTCCCTTTCCCTCCCTTTCCCTCACCCTCATCCCCCACTAACCAGAACGCGCACATCACTATTCATTCCTATAAAAAAAAAATAATAATAAAATAAAAAGAAAAAGAGAGAGAGAGAAAAAAAAAAACATATATGCTAACACACATCGCTACATCAATTCCATTATAACCCACAAAGCACAGGTTGCGAAGGAATCATTACATGAAATTAAGTATTCTTCTCTCGGGAAGGCAAGATGTACGTCTGTGCAAGACCCGTGTACGGACAAGCAACACACAACAGAAAACGAGAGAGACACGGAGCGCCACAATAGAAAACGAAGTGTGGGTACCCGGCCGAACACGCACCGCCGTCGCGCATGCGTGGTTCACCCCTACCGTGGCGGAAATTAATTACTGTCTTCGGGGGTGATAGGGAGGGGGGGGAGGTTGGGCTGGTAAGGGGTGATAGGGGGGGGAAGTTGAGCTGGTATGGGGTGATAGAGGGGGAGGTTGGGCTGGTAGGGGGATGATAGGGGGGGAGGTTAGGCTAGGCTGGTAGGGGGTGATAGAGGGGGAGGTTGGGCTGGTAGGGGGTGATAGGGGGGGAGGTTGGGCTGGTAGGGGTTGATAGGGGGGGAGGTTGGGCTGGTAGGGGGGTGATAGGGGGGAGGGAGGTTGGGCTGGTAGGGGGGTGAAAGGTGGGGGGGAGGTTGGGCTGGTAGGGGGGGTGGGGAGAAGTATTTGTTGTGTGTTGGTTATAATTAGGAGAGAAACTGTTTCATTATTTTTGCGTTTGTGCGTGCTATTTGGAGGAGAGGTGTTGAGGGGATGTAAATACCTGTGTGTGATATTCGAACTATGTCGAAAACAACTTTATATATCATTTCCTAAAAGATCTTTTTTACTAGTATATTTTTTTCCCTATCTTGTAATTGTGTACACCTATTTGCAGGTTGACTGACTTGAGTGTGCATGGTTGTTTGCAAGATCTTTACATGTCCACTGGTTAGCTTGCAATGACAAATGAGGTTCTTTAATGGAAAAACGGTGGGATGGATTGCAAGGCTGAGTGTATTATGTTTCTTTATGCTTTGTTGTTATTACTTGGGTAAGATCATAGGATGCTAGTATGGCCCTCTCTCAGCCTAAAAGTATGTGTTTATATGTTTACGTGAGTATATGTATATGTATATATGTGCATATTTATATTATATGTATATGTAAATTTATATTATATGCATATGTATATTATATGTATATGTATATTATATGTATATGTATATTGTGTGTATATGTATATGTATATTATATGTATATGCATATTATATTTATATGTGTATATGTATATATATATTTATTTATTTATATTTGTGAAAGTGTGTGTGTGTATATAAATACTCAAGTACAGAAGCTCCCATACAGATGCAATTGCCCGGTAAACTATGTGCATTTATAAACCTGAAAACCGAAAATCTACAAAGCACCTTCCCTTTACCCCCCCCCTTTTCCTGACAACTGAGGAACACACAGAACACCCGCTTCCAACCTACCCCACCATCCCCTTTGCAAAAAAAAAAAAAAGGTAAACAAACACACAACACAAACAATAAAATGACACACACACACACACAAAAAAAATCATAAACAAACAAAGACGGGGAGAAAAAATAAAAAGCTATACTTACAAAGCCGTGTTTGTCGGAGATATTATTCGTGAGTTTTAGCTTGTGAAAAGACACAACTTTTTGCATCCACTGTTCACCCGTCGCTGGGCTGTCTGGATGAATGTACATCCGCTTCGGCATCTCAGGGTCGGCTTTGCCAGCAACCATCCACCTGCTATGAGGAAAAGGGGGGTCGAGTATAAGTGAAATGTATGAGGGAGAAAATATTGTATTGAAAAAAAATGTATTTTGACTTTTTTTTTCATCATTCATTTTTTTTTTTTTTTTTTTTGGCTGGGATGTGGTATTGTAACATGATTTTTTAAAATTAACATAGGTTTATTGCATCAAAAACATGAAATAAAAAAAAATAAAAAAACAAGAAGTGAAAGAAAAAAAAAAGTCCAGTTAATTGAAAACAATACAAAAAATACAATTTTGCAGAACTAGTGATATTACTCTGAAGAATTTAACCACTTCCTGTTATCAAATTATTAACTTTTATGAATGATTTCATTGAGGAAGCTTATTTGTCATGAAATATACAGCATAATGCAATATGCATGACATGAATAGTAATCCTAGTGTAAATACTGTTAAGCATGATATACATATATATTACAATTCCACACGTGCAATCAACATTTCATTTTTTTATTTTTCTATTTTATTAAGATGTATTACTGGTCACGATAATTAGATCTGTTTTTTTTTTGTATCGAGAAAAAAAGATACATAAAAACGTTGCTTTATATCTGGGAATATTGTAGAGAAAAAACGTTTATATTTGGGAACACTGTGTTTAAACGTTCCTTCACGTTTCTGAGAACACTGCTTCCGTAGGATTTTATCTATTGAAAATCATTTACAATATTCCAGTATCTCATACATTTCACATAAACATAAATCTCAAAGAACTGTGACATGAAAATAATATTCAATTAACATTAAAAAACTAATAAAATAAACAAACATATTTTTCAAGATTAAGTGACCTTTTTTCTGATAATATTCAAAACGTGATAAGTAAAACTAACCAATTATTTTTGTGGATTCTAAATCTCAGAAAATATTTAATGAAACAGATTGCATCATAATAGCAAATATACGCATTTTCTACTATATACAGTTATGACTATTCCCTTTATATTAAGGACTTTTTCTGAAAACTTACTAGTAATTCAACTAGTAATTACGTCTAAGAATGATTATTATCTTTATTATTAATGCTGTTACTATTAATTTTATTATTATCATCATTGGCATCATGATCATAAATTATAGATCAAACAAAATTATTAGCAGTCGTGACAGAATGAGATATGGATAATAAATGTTATTATTAAATACAATTATTAATAAAATGAATAATCAAGATATTTTCTCTACAGAAATGTTGATTGCAGCATATTATCAAAATTCATGAACTTTTATCAAAATAAAAAAAACAAAATTGAAAACCATCTGTTAAGTAGCACTGACTATTAAATAGACTATTATACAGATCGTTCTTATCTGAATTCCTTATAAGATAAAATGGAAGGAGAGGGAAAGAGAGAAAGAGATAGGAAAAAAAAGAATCTTCCAATAAAAAAAAAAACAGGATATAAAATACAAACGAACAAATGAAAAAAAAAAAAGGAAATTGTGTTAAGTTCTAAAAGACTACTTTGGGGGGAAACAACCTTGAATCCGGCACATGCAAGAAAATAGGAGAATTTGAATAAATACAATGCAGGAAATAATAATCAAAAATAGGGGTGGATAAGACATGCAATTAAGTCTCTGGATAGGTCAGGTCAGGTCAGAGCTCCATTGACCAGTCTCGTGGCGTAGTTTCTGTTGCATCAGCATGGTCATCATTATTTAATCCTTTTATTGCTATTTTTTTATTGATTTATTCCTTATATGATCGTTGAGGTTATAAAGGGATTTTTTTTCTTTTTTTTTTCATTCTCCTGATGGGTAAGGTAAGGGTGGGGGGGGGGGGAGAGTATGGGTAAGGGATGAGGCAAGATACGCTGATGAAGGGGGGGTTAGGGCAGAGGGCAAGGGGTGGGGGGGATAGAGGGGAATGTGTCATGACAGAGTTCTGTGACAGCTTCTTAAATATTCATATCATACAGAACAGAAATCAATTCAATGACATTTTTCTTTTCTTATCTTCCATTGTTTTTTTTTAAATCTCTATCAATGTTATTATTTTTTTTTCTTTAATTATTAAATATCTTCTTGCCATTCATTTCTATCTATCTCTTGTCAGTATAGTGATCAGAACTCTCTCAAAACTCAAAGCAGTGTCGCGCTAATGTTTTCGTCGCAGGGCAGTTCATCATATAAGCTTCAACGCTCTATGTAGTCCCCAGTAAAGACCTTGCATTCTCTATAAAATGTATCAACTTTTGATAAAAAAAGGACAAAGGACTGAATAACACAGGCATAGGAAAAAAAATCTATCATTGGTTCTGTGCACTGAAAGCGAGGGGAGGGGGAAGGGGGGAGGGTAGAGGAGGGTATGAAGGGGGTGGGGGGGTGGGGGGTAGAGGTTCTAATACCAATCTTTGAGGTCGTGAGGGGGGAGGGGGAGGGGAGGAGGGTTATATGTATATAAAAAAGTTTGTGCTATAACTAAAGTTTGAGAATTCTAGAGAGACGGTTTTTGAACTCGAGGTTATATATATATAAATATATATTGTAAGGGGGCTTTACAAATATTTCTTCTGCATGTATGTACAAAATTAGCAAAGTCTCGAAATTTTGTTGATATACACACAATCACTCTTCTATAAGGGTTTCTATGACGGAAGGGTCATATAGGTTGGCTGTGTACTATATATATATATATGATATGAAGCCCTCCAATCAATTAAAACTGGGGTTTTCTATAATAGTGGATTAACCTGGGGTTGTCTATAACAATACCTGTTGTGAAATTTATAGCGGCAATCATCAGCTGACACGATGTCCATAAGTAAGATGTATTTTGCTTTTTTGTCAAGGCCAGAGACACGGACCTTGTAGGCAGGGAACATACGTCTGCAAGAATAATAACAGACCTTGATAGAATACATGACAGATATGAAAATAAATATAGGGGTTACCAAAGCGGGGAAATAAAGACGACAAAAAAAAAAAAAAAATGGTGGAGGCGAAAGAGGAAATCATCAGTCATCAGCGCCAAAAGTAAATAATAAGAAAATAAAGATTAAAAAAAAAAAAAAAAAACGGAAAGCGCAGCGGGAAACAAAAGAGAGTCGGGAAGCCGGAGATGCCACACCCAAGGAAGGCATAACCATAATAAATATATATAAAAAAAAAACATAGAGATAGAAAGAAAGAAAGAGAGAGAGACAGACAGACAGACACAAATAGATAAATAGAGAGAGAGAGAGAGAGCAGAGAAATGGTCGTCTGGGCAAACATAAAAAGTTAAAAAGAGAGAAGTGGTTTGTGTAGCTGAAATTGGGTAGACTCGGATACCTGTTATGGAACTTATATCTACAGTCGTCTGCCGCTACGATGTCTAGTAGAAGGATGTACTTGGCTTTGGGGTCTAGCCCTGACACTCGAAACTTCATCTGAGGAAACATTTGCCTGAAAAAGACACGGAATGGTAACCATAACAGACATACACACATGGGTAGGGAAAGTAAAGAGCTACTGAGAGTGTATATAACCATGTGATTCCCAGCCTGGGCAAGCTACTGGTCTTTAATTTCTTCCATGGTAGAAATTAAAGCAAGAGAAAGGAAAATATCTATGTACTATAAATCGAAATAAAACACTGGGTCTTTCCATAAACATGAGCTAAATGTCATTACTCTCGATTTTCACCATACAAATCTCCAGAGAAATATCACAGAACGGCAAAAAAAAAAGAAAAAAAAAATTCTATATCCAAATCGAAGGAAGTTTAAGCCCATGAATATCTAAACAGTGAGTAAATATCCTACTTCCCTCCCCTCCCCCCCTCCCTCGGACCCTCAGAAGCCGCAGGGAAAACCACATAATTATAAACACTCCATCGACTCTTTCATGGCATAACATCTAAGTATGTGAGGCCCCGCATGTCTACGCTACCAATGAGTCTCCAGGTAAGTATATATATATATATATATATATATATATATATATATATATATATATATATATATATATATATATATATATATATGTATATATATATATATATATATATATATATATATATATATATATATATATATATATATATATATATATATATACCATGGAAAAAAGAGGGAGAGAGATGAGGAGGGAAAACAAGAGAAAGAGAAAGGAGGAAGATGGAAAAAAAAATCTTGGAGGGGAGAAGGGGTGGTTTTGTAGGGATCACCTTCATCCTTCATCCCCTTCCATACCTCCTCCTCCTCCTCCTTCTTCTCTCCTTCCGTCCCTCCCTATTTCTAACCCTCCACGACCCCCTCCCCCTCCCCCCTTTCTCGGAGTCCTAGATCCTCCTGGAAGTGCGCTCCTCGCCCTCCTCCGCTCCTTCGCAGAGGAGGTTTGAAAAATTAAGGACTGCGCTAATGATTAAGGATCTCATCGCTGCAGAATTCCTCGATCACTCGTCCTGCCTCTTCACCGACTACGTGGCTCTCGGCGTCAACTCCAGCTCAAGGGCCAGAACACACAGCAGGCGTGGTAGTTGTAGCAGCTTCTCGGCTGAGAATTCTGTTTATCCATCATTATCAATAGCATCCTGCAGTCTTGGTGGGTATATCGTTAATAATTAAGTAGGATATATATCACGCTTGGGTAAAGAATACCTGGGAATTCTCGGGAGCCGTGTTTTTAGTTTTTTTTTCCAGGAAGGAATTGAAAAGAAAGAAAAAAACAACAATATCGAAATTCAAGATGAAGCTTACAGCTACTGTTGGAGAACCTGAGAGAACTGGATTAAAAGATCCAATGTTAAATATTCGTTCACCTGTTCGGTACTGTCTTGTGAAATATTTCGTGCATTTTTTTTTTCTTCAGCGGAATGGTTAGTATATAGT